AACAGTAGTTGAAAAGTCACCAGCTATTTCTGGTGAGATTCTGAAATGCATATTAGATCAGATGATGGATACTTACTATCCCATGAGGCAACAGGGGAGGATTTGTGAATGAAAGTGAAGCAATACAACTGACGCTGTATGTCACATGACAATGACAACGTGATGGATGTAGAATGTCCAAATTTAATTCATACTACACACATTCACACAGCATGCGATTTCAGACGCAGCTCATGTCTTACTAAGATCACTTTTCATATTTCATATCTTTATGACTGAGCAACAGTTTGGGTAAGCTACTTGTCTATTAAACACAAGTTAAAAGTTAATAATTACAAATCTTCCCAAAACCTCCCTGTGTTGACAACTGTTTGGGCTTTTGATTATGAAGGCAACTCTGCCATCATGTGGTAACAAAATAGAACAAACCTTTGTAGTCCTCCACTAAAAGACATGAGGACCAGGTTGTTGTCTCTCAAGAGTGCAAAACTTTTGAAAAAGGAAAAAGAAACAAAGACTTGCATACATTTACAGTACAAGGTAATGAAATACCTATCGGTCAGTATAAGATCCCTTTTCTCAATTTTCACTTTATCTGAGTAAAATTGGTTGTATGCTGTCAAAATTTGTTCAACCCTTTCCCTCTTTCCACAGAATACTTGGAACAGATGTTCTTTGCCAATTAAGAGTTTATGGAAATTGAGTAAACCCAATTGTTTTATTTACAGTGCTCATTACACTTTTTTTAAATTGTATTTTTTTATTACTAGATGTTCTTTTTTATTATTAATATTGATGTAATTTATATTTTGTGCATCATTTTACATTTTTATAGTCTCATACTTTTATAAGCATAATCTTTTTTATTTATAGTAGTTGGCCTACTACTTATTCCTAATATCTTGTATTTTAATATAGAGAAAATAATTCCCTTTGCATGATCAGTTTGTAAAATAAGATAGCTGTTTTTGCGCACTTGACTTTGATACTTCATATTATACATTCATTCAGTGGCGTGCACGTCTGATGCTAAAGTACCCTTGCGGTCCGGTCTATGTGCCCCCGGTCCGCGCGATTTCTGCCGAGGGTAGAATATGTGCGATATGAAGATTTTTGATCGTGACGATAAAAATGTCTCCACGATCTGCTTTTGAAGAAATATCGTTGTATCGTGCTACAGCGCACATTCTATCAGCTGCAGTCCTGGCGCCGCCGAATCAATATACTGCAGGCTACAACGCGACATACATTATCACGTTTTACGTTATATACGTATATACGTTAACTCAGCGGTACAGTTACTCTCACGGGACACTGCACTTATTCACAATCACATTCACAAAAGTACATTTTTTGCATCTGCTTTAAAGCCCCGTTCACACCGCCAGTGACACAGCGACAGAGCGACATAATCCCATTCATTTTCAATGGAGAGCTGGCGACAAGAGCGACAGTGACCGTTGGCGACGGAATGTGGGCGTGTCAAGCGATGCGAGTCAAGCGACAAAAGTTCAGAATTCTTCAACTTTATGCAAATAAGCAGCGAATTTCGTGAGCGACAACCAATGGGAGTGAAGTCAGTGGAGAGCACGTGATTCATCTGCTGTAGTGGAGTGTTAGGGGGGTAACTGGGCAACCAGTAGTGGGAAGGCCCACTAGCGACCTCAATTGCCAGCCACAAGCGACAAGCAGCGAAAAAGTGAACGTGTCCTCGCTACAGCCTGCAGCACGATGACGTAGCTGGACTATATCCACTACGTAGTGGACATTTTACGCGCGTGCGCTGTAGTAGGTCTCGAATAAATCATATTTTTATTTACATTTGATCATTTTGCAGACGCTTTTATCCACAGCGACTTAGTCTAACGACTTGGTCTAAGTTAAGTCTAACGCAGTACATGTAGCAAGGGTTTTTGACCTACATTACATTACAATGTAAAAACTTTAATGTCTAAATTCATCCGCGATGTTTTCGTCTGTACCGGCAACTTCAAAGCTTTATTTATTTAATTATTTATTTTTTGAATAGCCTGCAATTCAAATATTATCGCCAGGATGCACATCAGTGCTGTATCCATTATTATAAGTATACAACAAGCACTGTAACATGACTGATATGTAGACGTTGCACTGTAAATAGCTAATTATTAAGATATACTTCTGTCATGAAAACAAATTCCTAGTATGTGAAAACATACCTGGCAATAAAGCTCATTCTGATTCTGATTCTGATACATCACTCTATCAGAGTTAGCCTAAATGTCTTTTTGATTCTATCTGTCATGTTTATTTAAATTTAATTGGGGGTATTAGATTAATGTCGATCCATTTTGTTTATTTAGATTTTATATTATTCTAATATAGCTAGAGAGAGAGAGAGTGCGAGAGAGAGCGCTCGCTCTCGTAACGGAATGGATGGTTTATGTCTTTAGCCATAGGTATAACTATCTCCAGGGATATATGTGAGATATGTGCACTCTCATATAGGCCTAACACACAAAAAAATAAATGGTCATCTTTGTGTTAATATGCCTTGTCCCGACTGTGTGTGTATTTATTTGCTGGACATGGGATTAACTGTAAAAACCTGGTATAACCCGGGATAACGGATCTATCGGCTATACGGAACCCCGACAGGATTGTTTTTCTTTTTTTTCTTTTTATATGGTATAAAAATTATGTCCACATATTTTAGTAGGCCTATAACTTTTTTTATACTCTGTCACGTATAGCACAAAGAATGAGAACGAAAAATAATATTTGATTCATGAACGAATTTTTGACAGAACTAACTAACTATCTTGACTATCAGAGGAAAAAAATAAAGACAATAGTTACACACCATTTTATTCATAAAGAACAAACAAAATTGTAATTAGTAGTTTTATTTCTAAAACGAATCAAACTAATAAAAAATAAACAGCGTACATACCCTTTCATTCAAAACTACGCCATCCTTGCTTAAATAAAGTTTGAATACACTACTAGTTTAAAATCACAGTATAATATAATTTGTGTAAGCCTATGAAACACACCTATATATCGTAATTACAGTATAATTTACATTAAATACTAGCTTCAATGACAGCCCCACTTTGCACATGCGCATTAAAATCCAATACCTGCGCATGCTCGTCAAACATCCAATACCTATTGGATCTGATCCAGCTACGTCATGGTACTACAGGCTGCAGCAAGTACCTCTTGGAAAAAGTCGCTGGCGGTGTGAACGGGGCTTTACTGGTTAAATGTTTCATTCGTGTGCTGTTCTGAAGAGCGCTTTTTCTGAGCACACCCAAGCGCGCGCACGAAAACGAAAAATCCCGTCAAACAGTGCCTGATTACTGAACTAAGTTATGTTTGTGCTAATACTGTCAAAAACACAAGGTTTGACTCAGTTGGTTATGTCTACATTGAAAGTAAACAACTGAGAGAAACGGATGCGTGCTTGTACGTCAGATGCGTGCAGGTCTTAAAGGGACAGTAGGCTACATGCTGCCGACTGTAATTAAAGGGATAGTTCACCCTAAAATTTAATTTCTGTCATTATTTATTCACTCACATGTTGTCCCAAACCTATATTAATTTATTTCTTGTGCTGAACACAAAAGAAGATATTTTGAAGAATGGGTAACCAAAAAGTACTGGTCCACATTGACTTTGATAGTAGGAAAAAAATACTATGGAAGTCAGGTGGACCAGGAACTGTAGAAGAAGAAGAAGGAAACTAATTCAGGTTTAAAACAACTTTTGAGTGAGTAAAATGAAGGTATAAAAATAAAACAATAGCCTATTTAAATTTTTGGGTGAATTATTCCTTTAATCTTAATAAAACACCAAATACAAAGAGAAAAATCACTCAATACTCTTGACTGAAAAACTTTAATACTGCTTTAATCCTGCTATTTAATACTAATATTGCTTTAATAGGAATCGATGTGTATAGTGTTTTATTTGTATATTTGTTCATTACATTTTTTTGAATGCTCCTGCTAAATACACCTATTGTAGCCTACCTGAAAATAAAACATAAAACTGTTTATTTTATAGGCTATTATGTGCATGTGTAATGTGTATCTTTGTTCAAATTTTTTAATAACAAAGATAAAATAATGACAAAGATTTTTATCTTCACCCACTTTGGCCTAAATATCCACCATACTTTTTTTTATATATTTTGTTACCTGGAAAGGCTTTGTCTTTATAATAGGGAAATAAGTTTGGCTGTAATGCTCAAACAGCTTGCAAAATAGAAAAACCAACATGACAAAGAATCGTGATAAAATCGTGACTTGTGATATTTACATTTTTTTTTTTTTTAAATCGTGATATTTTTGCCATATCGCCCACCCCTAGTCGAGGGGGAACAAACCCATACTCCCCATCATCCCCCCCAGTCCGCGATTGTGCCCTCGTAACGCCATTTCGCCCCTGCCCCTCCAGAGGTCTGTGCATTCTTTAGTGCATTAGTGTGCATTAACTGTGGAGTGTAAATTTTGTTATATTTTATTGTAATCGTGGTGGCATTTTTCAGCTGCTCTTTTTTCTTTCAGTTCTTTCAATAACAAATACTAAGCTTTGAACAACACCATCCTGCTCACAAATAAATATGTGCATTTGACTTTAAATAAATAAATAAATTATGTGTAAGACCGTGTACTTGCTGTTTTTTTATGAGGCAATGACCTGCTCATGCCTTATAAATATAATGACTTAAAAACCATGGTGCAATTTCATTTTTGGATGCCACGTGAGTAATTACTCTGCAGCTCGGAAAACGACGCACTGACAACACTGATGTAGGCCTATAGCCTCTAATAATAATATTTTGTTATTGTTACATAGGGGTTCTATAAAGTTCGTGTTTTTTAAAGTTGCACATACTTTTCCCACAGTGCCCACACCATGGGCTCATATTTTTGGGGGTCTCATGTGACATGAGGGTCCACCCTCATGAGGGGCTTCACTGGCTCACATTGTTGCAATACAGTAGGTCCATACTTGCATGGGCTGGAGACGTAACATGTATAAACTGCCCACTGACCGGATCTGCTATTTAACAGGTGTAGCAGCAAGTGCAACAGTGTCGTCTTTAGACAGATCTAGTCCGGGACTATGCGCTCAGTCTGGGGTTTAATTGCCTTGGTGGCCACGGCAACTTTTTACTTGTACCTGCTGTCTGTGTTCCTTCCGCCGGGTCCGCGTGCCGCCCGGCTTCACGACGTTCAACCTCAACACACCGCCGACGAACCGCAGGAGGAAGAACTCAGGTAGATTCATATCTTCGGTACTTTGTTTTGTTTTGTGAGCAGTTATTCCTACTTATGTTATTGTTTGTAGCAGAATTAATTCTCTTTTAACTGTCAAATGGTCTGGTAAACTGTGTTTTAATAACACACTAGCTACAGGTAAGCTAAACAGCTGAATATATTATTTTAATAATCGTACATGTGGACACAACAAATGACAAAATGGGAAATTATTTCAGGTAAACATAGCTACACAACATACATAATTAAATTAAATTACATTTTAAGGTGAAACTTGGTAGACTGATGGGCTACTTGCGATTCATGAATGATTTGCTATTTTTAATCGGATCTTTTTTTACTTAATAGGTTGTACCGGTTCACATCTGTCACTGATATTATTCAGGTAAAGATTCAGTGAAAGCATCCCACTCGAAATATGAACGATCGAGTCCGAATTTGTGAATCACAAAACCTGTCTAAACGATTCGCTCCTGCCGGTTTTTATTACTAGGCCTATATTTGTGGACAGGAAATTCATTTAGAATTATATTGGTTAGACTATATAATATTGTTTTTATTTTGCAGTAAGAAGCCTGCTTAAAATTGCAAGAGGTGTTTTTTTTAACTAATTACAAAAATACAGTTTAATATTAGGCTATTAACATTACAAATATCTTATTTACCATAACCATAGTCTCATCTGAATTCATAGTCTATTGCTATTAGGACATCTCTTCATTAAAATGTAGGCCTATCTGAATTGTAAATGTATCTATTTGATTGGGATTCAGTAACTTAATTTTTCTGTAATGTATTCAATTATTTAACTAAATTGTGATTTATCACAAAACCTGTCTAAACGATTCGCTCCTGCCGGTTTTTATTACTAGGCCTATATTTGTGGACAGGAAATTCATTTAGAATTATATTGGTTAGACTATATAATATTGTTTTTATTTTGCAGTAAGAAGCCTGCTTAAAATTGCAAGAGGAGTTTTTTTTAACTAATTACAAAAATACAGTTTAATATTAGGCTATTAACATTACAAATATCTTATTTACCATAACCATAGTCTCATCTGAATTCATAGTCTATTGCTATTAGGACATCTCTTCATTAAAATGTAGGCCTATCTGAATTGTAAATGTATCTATTTGATTGGGATTCAGTAACTTAATTTTTCTGTAATGTATTCAATTATTTAACTAAATTGTGATTTACATAGAATATTTGATGTGTTTACATTACATGTTTGTCCTGGGGGCTTCTTGCCCAAGGTATAGGGGAATTTTTGCTATAACTGAACTGTAAAATGTTTCCAGTTTTTTTCCACTATTAATATATTGGATGATGCATAGTCATCATATTAAACTCATGCATGTTACAGTGTAGCAGTAAGGTCACACTGTTTCTAAGAGAAGCATCTGCAGTGCAGTTTATGACAGTGCTCCCAGTCACCTGTGGAACAACTGCCTCCCTCTTTTTATTAGTTCTCTCTATCTTCATTAATTTCACATACTTCCATATTTACCTGCATGTCTATTTGACTCAGTATTGGTTTATTTATTATAATATACACCCTCATCTCAATTCTGAGAAGAAGTAATGGAAGAATAAGAAATAAAATTAGAGAGAATGAGAGAGAGATGGATTTGTACTGTAGAAAGTGAGAAGCTTTGGCAGTTATTCTCTGATGGTGGCAAACATTCAGCTCCTGTTTGCCCTGTGCTCTCTCCTCATCAGCATTACTTTATACTATGTGAGCAGCTCTGTGTGATGTGGGAAATCATAGATGCTTCATGCAGCAAAACTCTTTTTCTTCTTTAATGTTTCATCCGTCCTCTCATGTGTCCTTGGCAGGCACCTAAAGGAACTGATCCTTAGTCAGTTCTTATTATGCATCTGATTCTCAGATATTGTCTGCTTTGCATGTGTGTGACTGTATGCAATGAGTGAATTAAGGAGTCTGAGACCCCCTAGTTCCAGCCATAGTCCTGTAGTCTCTAACACATTTTCCAAACTGCTTGTCTTTTGTAGAATCCAGGGGACATTGGAGCCTATCATATAATTTTTTAATATAATTATTTTAATTATTAATTTATTAAACTCTCCATTAATTATTACTTTGTCTGCTCTGAATGCAAATCAACATTAGCAGTCATGTCTCAGAATTGGAGCCTGGCAGAGGGCATGAGGTGACAGTTATAAGATCAGACAACTGCCTTCTGGAGTGTCTTGAAACCCCTTGAATTTGCTGAGATGTGCAATATAGAGGAGGAGGGAAAGAAAGAGATATCTGGAGGCTTCATATGTGACATGTTACATTTACATACATACTCCACCGATGGATTTTTGGTACCTTGCTGCTGTCGCCTCTGGCTTGCTTAGTTGGGGACACTTATTTTCCAGCGATATCGTTGACTTGATTGCACAGATACTATTAAACTGAACTGAGCTGGATGATGACATCACTGAATTCAATGATGAACTGCCTTTAACTGAATATTGAGTGTTTACTATTGTCACTTTGCATTATTGATACACTATTTTCCTATTTAATACTGTAAAGCTGCTTTGACACAATCTGTATTGTTAAAAGTGCTACATAAATAAAGGTGACTTGACTTGACTTGACATGTATGTCTGGCATGACAAGCTAAAATAAATTGCATGAATAAAAAACAGGAGAGAGATCTCAAAAGCCCTGTGTGCTTACAGTATATGTCACTTTCTGAAGTCATCCAGATATTTAGAATAACAAAAACAGTGGAAAGGACACTGGAGTTTCAAATTGGGTAACGGATCTGCTGTATGTCTACCATCATCACATTCTATCCAAAGATCTGACCTTTCCATAGTGTCTTGTGACCTGTATGTCTTGGTTCATGTCTTGATTAGCTCACTCCTCTGTACCCTGGAGAATATCTGCTGATGAGGCTGAGATTAAGTTTTTCACATGTTGTTCATCAGTGATGGCAGAGACAGCTGTGCCCTGTGTACTGCTAGCTGTTTGAATCTATTGGTGGGAATTCCCATGGTTCTAAGAGAAGGGAAATTTGGTTAACACATGTGCATGTATCCTGTTTTACAGTGATGTAGCCATAAAAACAGCTGTTTTAAGGAGAATAGGCTTAAATAGTCTGAACATGTCAGGACTTTTCAAAAAAGAGTTTTGATTATTGACTGTGTTTTGTTTATTGTCTGGTCGGTCTCGTGCACTGAAGGCTGTCATATTGTTGTACTTGTGGGAACATACTCAGTGTGCACTCAGCATGGAGCATATCACATGTTTATATTCATCACACTGGGTACGTATGTGAAATTAAAACCTCTGCTTTGGCACATGGGTGGGGAATACTGCCCCATTGCGTGCCCAAATTACCCCCTGGATGGCAGTAAGGAGCTTAGATTACTCACGACTGCACAAGATGTGATTCATCTGCTGGTAAGAGCCCGGTGACCACCACACAAGAAATCCAGTCTGTGGTACATCCACATATTTATTGATGATCATGTTAGGTGTGTTTGAAGATGTTTTAAACAGTCTGGCCATTGAGTACAGCCAAAACACACACACACTAGCGTATTTCCACAGCTGAGAGGCTATTTTTGTCCAGTTGGTGTATCATATTTCATTCCTGCACGCAAGCTGAGGGCAGATTTTGGTCTTTCGGTCTCATCTTGCTGACAGGCTAGTGTCTTGATCAGGGGCCTTCAGCCGTTTTCAAGAATCCTTCAAGAATTTCAAATCTGTTGTGCACTTAAAAAAATGCAAACCTAAAAAGGGAAGTAATGGCTTTAAGTCAAAAATTTTATTTAATAATACTGAGCCTAAATACACAATTTTATACCAATTACCAGTTATTAATATAATTATACAGTCATGTACTTTTTTAATAAATTTTTTTTATGTAATACATTTTAATATGTAAGGAACAATGAAACATTTAGATTATAAAAAATTTATAATTTACTCACTCTGATGTCATCCTAAATCTCCATAGTTTGGTTCTCAGCATTTTTAAATATTTTTTGAAGAAGAAACAAAGTCATGCAGGTTTGAGCAAGCATGAGGGTGAGTAAATTATGACATTTTTGGATGAACTTATCGCTTTAACTTCATCTTTGGTCAAAGTTAAAGCAATATTGTATTTGTTTAAAGAACATTTATTTTGTCAGACTTCCTGGAGTACCATCATGGTACCAGCTTGTGGTCACAGAACCTCACCCATGAATGAACTTCAGCCATTTAAACATACTTTTTATTTAAGTCAGAAATGTTATTTAATATTACTGAATCAACCTAAACATTAATTTATATCACCAAATTACGTAGGTTAAATCATGTAGAAATAACTCTTTAAAGTAACAGTTTCAGGTCACCACAGCATCTCACCAGAGGGCAACAGTGAGCTTTTTCAGATCATTATCCCAGTGAAAAATAAATATACTAAAATGTATTTGAAATACATTTATTTCATGCTAAGTATACTACAAATATATTCACATATTTATGCACAAACTTAATGCTCTTTAATACCAGGCAGTGGTCAGAGAGTCCTACAGCTGCTCTGTGGACCGAGCGATATGCATACTTTATTGTGGAGTAACAATGGTCCAGTATATTACTGTCTCTGGTGGGACATGTAACATGCTGTCTGTATTTTGGCAGTTCACGGGAAAGATTTGCTTTATTAAAGTCCCCGAGAATGATTAAAACAGAGTCCGGGTGTTGTTGTTCTGTCTCTGATCAGCGAGTTTCTGTAAAGCTGAGCTCACGTGTGCTTGCGGGGGAATGTAAATACTCACGAGAATGAACGAGTGAAACTCCCGCGGCGAGTTAACGGCTTACAGTTAATGAAAAGCGCTTCTAGATCGGAACAGCACATCTTCTTTAACGCTGTAACATCTTTCCCCATTGATTCTGCGTCGCGATCCGCTCTAAACAGCTGAAAGCCCGGGAGACTCAACACGCTGTCCGGAATGGCGTCATTCAGCCAGGTTTCCGTGAAACACAGAGCAGCAGAGTGTGAAAAATCCTTATTTGTCTGGGAGAGCAGAAGAAGTTCATCCGTTTTGTTGGGTAGAGAGCGGAGATTCGTCTGCGGCGCCATCGCATGTATTAAGATGGCGCCGCAGATATGCAAATATCTTGCATTTAAAGACCGATATTATTCAAAGGTCATACAATCATCATCAATAGTGACATTAAAACGCATTATAGTCTTAATATTGTGTAATAATAATAAAATGTGCATTGTGCACAAGTAGTACTCCAAATAAATTTTAATTTAAATTACATTTTTTTTATATCAGTAAGTCTCAAGAAATAAGTCAGTAAATATGTTAATAATTTGAACAATACTTAGTATGAAATAAATGTATTTTAAATACATAATGTTTTACTAGGGTACATTCAGGTCATATAGCTTAAGCCCACAGTATCCACTCAATATATTGATTAAAACCCTCTTCCTCCATCATATCAGTCTCTGCTGGTTTTTGTAAGGGAAAGCAACTGGGTTGATAGGAAGAGGACAGCCACTCGCCAATCTGTTAGAAATTACAAGAGAAACATGCAAGTTCGGTGCCATTATTTTACTGATCTCACAATGTCTTATATTTTCTCCAGGTTGAAGTTCCCATCTGATCTGAATGAGTTGAGGGAACTAGCTGAGCTGCTGCAGTTCTATAAGGCAGAACACACTGGATATGTGTTCATCCTCTTTTGCAGTGCCTACCTCTACAAGCAGTCCTTCGCCATTCCAGGCTCATCCTTTTTGGTTGGTAACAGAGGTCTACTCTGTGACACTATTAGTAGACCTTCTTGAAAACACCTCATTAGACTGAAATAAAAGCTTTATCACCAGTTTCTCTAAATGCCATTTACATCATGTTTCCTTTCCTGGACATACAGGTGCATCTCAATAAATTAGAATGTCATGGAAAAGTTCATTTATTTCAGTAATTCAACTCAAATTGGGAAACTTGTGTATTAAATAAATTCAATGCACACAGACTGAAGTAGTTTAAGTCTTTGGTTCTTTTAATTGTGATGATTTTGGCTCACATTTAACAAAAACCCACCAATTCCCTATCTCAACAAATTAGAATACTTCATAAGACCAATAAAAAAAACATTTTTAGTAAATTGTTGGCCTTCTGGAAAGTATGTTCATTTACTATACATGTACTCAATACTTGGTAGGGGCTCCTTTTGCTTTAATTACTGCCTCAATTCGGCGTGGCATGGAGGTGATCAGTTTGTGGCACTGCTGAGGTGGTATGGAAGCCCAGGTTTCTTTGACAGTGGCCTTCAGCTCATCTGCATTTTTTGGTCTCTTGTTTCTCACTTTCCTCTTGACAATACCCCATAGATTCTCTATGGGGTTCAGGTCTGGTGAGTTTGCTGGCCAGTCAAGCACACCAACATCATGGTCATTTAACCAACTTTTGGTGCTTTTGGCAGTGTGGGCAGGTGCCAAATCCTGCTGGAAAATGAAATCCGCATCTTCAAAAAGCTGGTCAGCAGAAGGAAGCATGAAGTGCTCCAAAATTTCTTGGTAAACGGGTGCAAAGCAGTTTACCACTTTTTTGGGTCCCCTTGAAACATTTCAGTTGTGGTCCGTGCTATTTGCAGCGCGTTTCTTCATAATTGCTATGATTGCTATGACTATGTACTATATAATTGCTATGACTGTATCCCCTGTGAATGTTATATCTTCAATAAAATAAAAAAATAAGGAATCACTAGCAGAAACTCAAAAAAAAAAAAAAAAAAAAAAGCCACTGCACAAAACAAATCCCAGCCGGGCCCGCCCCTTTTTTGGGTCCCCTTGAAACATTTCCGTTGT